CTTCCCACTTAGGAGCCTTAATTTCTGACTGAAACCAGATCCAAACCAAAGGTGCATTAACTACAAACACAAGTTTGCAGGAGAAATGGTTCAAGTCGTGTGTGTGAAATAATGGCGCGCGTTCACGCTCAAACACACGCTGCCGCTAAACTAACATTAATGCTCGCGGGGCTAACTGAGGAAAATACGCGAAACTTCCAAAATACGTTATTTAGTGTGTCACATTTACTCTGAATTACGAAATAACCATACAGCTATTTATTTTCCTTTTTAGTGATAATGCCTAGCTGCCTGGTTTTGAACAACATGAATTCCCCAGCAGTGAAAACTACTATCCCGCTTTTTTATTTAATGCTGGCCGCATGAGGTTAACATAGGCAACGTTACGTTTGGGGATGTAGAGACCGACACTGCCATGTTTTAAATGAAATAATATTCGTAAAAACATAAAGAGATGAAAATCTACGTGTTTAGGTGTGATTTGTGCTGTTTTGGGAAGCTAGTATGTAAACACGCGCAGAAAATGCTGGTTAGCCAGTTAGCATTTAGCAACATGGAGAGACCCACACACCGATCACACATCATGTGCGAACCTGTGAGGCAACAGAGGCTAATAAAACGCACTTACCTTGAAGGTCTCGCCATTCTGCAGACAGACTGAGAGACTTGTTTTTCCAAACTACAATTTTATTTGTAAACCCAGGTGCTGTCTTGCAGTGCAGGCTTTTTGCAGCTGAAATCCAGGTGTCTCTCCTGCTGCTGGAAAGCGCTTTCTGTAGCACGGAGCTGTACGAAACTACCTAGATGCAATGCAAACTGCACTAAAGACGCGCAAATGTGTGCGATCTAGAGCATCTGCTCGCACGCCGCGTTGGTCTGAGTGGGTAGAAAATGGAGAAATGTTGAAGTTGATCCACAGGCCGGAAAATGACCTGGTTAAGCCTGGTGTCGAATAGTAGCTAACTAATTAGCCACTGCCTGGCCTGCCAGCCAGGAATCTTTTATGAGTAGTAAAAGTGGGATGGGAGTCTGAAGAACGCAAGATGCCCGCAAACCAGGATTGGACGACCCCGCTCAGCAACAGTCCTTTACTACCCCCACTCTTGATGGTTAATCAGTTGATTAGATTATTTTAACTATTTCCAAATCTAGTTTAGTCAGATAATGTTATTAGCATGAGATAACGAAGCTATAATCAGTGTATTAAAAACTTAGGCCTACTAAAGTTTAAGGGCTGATTCATTAAGTAAATTAAGACATTTATATATATTCTTGGCGAAAGCCGAGTACAAATCAGCATGAAGTTTTAACATCTACTCTCGTGTAATGGAAATCATTATTCATTCTGATTTATAAAGGGTTAAACAAACAGATGGCTGAGAAGTATTTTGTGTTGCAATTGAAGGCTACAGGTGTGTAATGCTGTTTTATTTCAAAGGCAACTGGCTTTCTTCTCATTAACCAGAGTTATTAAAATCACACAAAAGGTTATCTGTAGGTTTTTTTTCTTCCAGCTATTCATGTTTATTTGCACAGTGCTGGAGTTGCAGAAGTGCTTTCAGATGGTTCAGGGTACAAAAAGCATATAGAAAACCCTTTAGCCTACAGTAGGCTATATCATGGGCAATCTTAACCAAGACACTTCGAATGTATTTAAAATATACCGAAATTTAATACAGTTCATGTTGAATTTATATTAAGTTTCAGTGAATTTGCTATAATTTCTAAACATGAATATCTTTGAATTGGGTTGCCTACAGGAAAAAAAAGTGGAAAAACTGTCACTAGGTACCCTTTCAAAAGGGACTAATATATAGACTAGACTACTAATATGGGCTAAATAAGGTACAATAGTGCACTTTTTGAAAGGGTACTGCAGTGACAGCTTTTGTACCTTTCTTTTCTGCGAGTTATCAGCTATCAGTTAGCTTTGATATTCTGTGTGGAACAATATACATTTTAAAGACGAGTATTAAAAAGGGGGACTGTCTAAAATAGGTATTATGATATTTTCACAGATAAACAGATGTATAGGAGACTGTGTCTTATTGTGTAAGCAATTATGTTATTTTGAGTTGTTTGAGTTTGAGATGTTTCTGGGATTGCATCCCTTAAAGATTAATCTACCATCACTCCATCAGACAATCAAACTTACAATTAAAATCAAATGTAATCTTTCATATAACTCACAAAATACAATAATCATAAGATGTAATACATCAGAGTTCAATAATTATCTGGATATAAGGGTTTCCTTAGAGGAGTGTATTTTATATTGAACTATCAGTTATTTTGTAAAACATTGTTACGTATACATTGTAAAAATTTGTTATATAGTTTTAATGGTTTAATGTAGCCTAATTAAAGGGTTAGTTAGTTCACCCAAAAATGAAAATTCTGTCATTAATTACTCCCCCACCAGGGGGCCCCCAAGAGCACATGATATAACAGCTTGATTTTTATTTGTATTATTATTTTTTGTGATATATTATGTCAATTAATAATGGTAATGACAAAAACACAATATTAAATATAAAAAACCCGCAAAATAATACAAAAATATTATTGTTACAATATTATGTTAACGGCCTGTTGCAGGATGTATTGCAAGCACAGTCAGACTGAATGATTTGGATTATTAAAGTGGATAGAAGAGCCAGCAGCATTGCAGCAAAACTGTCATAAATGTCACAAAAAAAGGACATATTCCTCTGGTGCAGAGAAAAGAACAAAAGAAGAAAACCGAGGAAGAGAAAAAACGGCAAGATAAAGGTATGTTTAGAAATTTCATGTAAACTCATCTAGGCTATGTTGCCAGCTAGCGTTAGCTGGCTAGCTAGTTAATTAACATAGCTTAGGTAGTATGCGTGTGCGATATCATAATTTTTGCTCGTGGACGATTAAAATGTCTCCACGATCTGCTTTTGAAGAAATATTGTAGTATTGTGGTAACATTTTTTCCTTTGCAGTTCTGGTGCCTCCGTCCAAATACGGTAACGTTACAACTCGACAACTCGAATCTGGATACATTCACATCACACGTTACCGCAGTGGTAGAGTTAACACTCACGGTACATTGAGCTAATACTGCCAAATGCACACAAGGTACATAAACACAGTTGGCTATGTCTAAAGTGAAAGTAATTACCGGTAGTTGCGTGTCTGCATGATAGATGCGTGCAGGTCTTAAAGTGACAGCAGCCTTATAGTAAAAATGCTGCCCCTTGTCCTTAATTAAAGGGTTAGTTCACCCACAAATGAAAATGCTGTCATTATTTACTCACTCGCATGTTGTTCCAAACCTGTATTAATCAATTTCTTGTGCTCAACACGAAAGAAGATATTTTGAAGATGTGTATTATTGGGTAACCAAACATTTGCTAATTTCTCTTTAACTTTTATAGTAGGAAAAAATATACTATGTAAGTCAATGGGGACCAGCAATTGTTTGGTTACCCACATTCTTCAATATAACTTTTGTTCAACAGAAGAAAGAAACTCATTCGGGTTTAAAACAAGTTGAGAGTGAGTAAATGATGAAAGATTTTTTTTTTTTGTGAACTATCCCTTTAATGTTAATACATTTATTATTATGTTATCTTGTTACATATCAATGACTCTAGACATTCATTGATATGATGTAAGCAACACAGCTACTACAACTAATAAAATTCATAATGGGTGTGTTAGATTTATAGTGTGCGAATAATCAAGCATTGACAATAGCCAATTGGCTGCACCGAGGGGCCCTCAAATAAAATTCAAACAAATTTAGCACCTTTACAAACAAAAGTGCTTTACACCAAGGACATTCTTTAAACCAATATTAGCCAACATACAACATAGAAAGAGAGAGAGAAATAAAATAAATGAAAAGCTATGCAAAAGCTAAAGAATAAAAATTAGTTTTATGATGAAGTGACAATTGATGAAGCTGACCTCAATTGGAGACTATTGCAGAGATTTGGACCTATTACGGAAAAACACCAGGATAATGGTAGTATTTATCTATTCTGTAAACATATTGTATTCTTACTTTTCCCTGTTATCTTATTCGGATGACCAGTAGTACATTTAATGCCAATCTGTATAAACTACTGTTCTTAACTGTTCTTCAAAGGAAAAATAAAAAGTCAATCAAATTAAATGGCGTTTAAAGTGGGTTACGGGCCTCCAAGTTGTGATAGTTCTAGTCATAATAATGGAAAAGATGAGCATTTCAACTTTAACTCTGACAGATGGACCGCCGCAAAGCAGGCTGGGTGAAAGTATGCCGGTTGAAAAGAGCCGTAAGTGCTGAATAAACAATGAGCACAGATGGACTTATTACAACATTATTACACAGGTATGTGATCGTATGCAAGCTTGTTCGAACCTTCTCTTATTCCCTCTTTTTAGGGGGAAGAAAAGAAAAAGAATAATGGCACTGACTGAGAAGTTAGTGATGAAATAAGAGCTGGGTGCAGGTTTGAGGATTGCTCAGCATAGGGACTGTCAAAATTCACCCTGGACCTGACTAATAAACGAAGCGAAGGAAGTTTATTCCGGCAAAAGTGTTTTTACGTTGTTTGTTTACTGTGTATTATGCAGGCATGTGGTACAAGTCATGCTTTTTAAAGTCACCATGAAATTAAAATTGACAAAGATTGACAAACGGCAATAGCAAATGTCAACAATCCAATCAATTCCCAATTCAAAAAGCTGTTTCGTTCAGATATATGTCACACTAGAGAAGAAAACACTATAGCAGCTTCAGTTTCATGCAGACTTTAAGTTAAAGAGTATTGTATCGTCAATATTCAATATAATACCTTTGCGTTTTAATGCATCCACATCACAATTATAATAAAGTGGCTCAAATGCTTGCGACTTTATTCTCATTGCAAAAATTAAGGTTTAATAAATCATCAATTTGGATTATTTAATGTTGGTAACGCTATTGGTTTGCATTATTTTCATCACGTGCACTTTAAGTATATTTTGTTTGTTTTATTTGTAGCATGGCAGTTGAAGTTTGCAGCATTGGTTTTTGGGATGGTCGCTGGAGTCATGTGCAGAAGTTTCTGGAGAGATCGGCCCCTTTCACACACCCAGACTTTGAGCCTAGGGACGAGGTGAGGGAAAAAACTTTTTGCTTATTTTTTTTAATACTTTATATTCTTTATTTAGTAATAATTCATTTCATTTTTTTTACTCTTGTTTTTTTGTAATATTTAGATGTAAAAAAACCAAAAAAAAAACCACTCCATTTTCTGTTAGAAACATGCAAAATCATGGTAATTGGAGCTGGGGGTCTTGGCTGCGAACTACTGAAGAACCTGGTAAGGTTTCTATCTATGTTTTTAATCCAGTCCCTTTTTTGTGTTCAAGTAATAACTTGATCATATTACTATTTTTTTTAAGGCTCTGTCAGGCTTTTTTCACATTCATGTTGTGGATATGGACATGATTGATGTCTCCAACCTCCATTGGCAGTTTCTCTCTAGGTATGACTGTGTGCATTTTGAAACAGATATTTGAGTTTGTTGGCAGCCATTTTATGAAGATTTCTGAAATGGAAACCGGGGACGTTTCCTAGTTTAGGGGTCAAAATGGCATTGAAATATCACTTGTTATTATCTATGAAAAAATGAAAAAAGGGGACAAGACATTTTTGTAAAAAAATATGATTAATTATTATTATACTATTATAATAATTAATAATTAGTATGAAGCCTGTATTAAAACTCTTACTTGTTTTAATACAGTTCACCAAATACCACATTATGAAAATAGTAAATTTGCAAATAGATAAAAGCACTATTATATTGTAACAAAATTATGACTTTACACGTTAAAAACATTACAAAAATAAAACAAAATAAATTAATATGTGTTTAAATGAATTTCCATTTAATTTCCATTAATTACAATGTTTTTACCTTTTCAAATATTATCTTATATTTGTGCTTTTGAAAATGTTACTCCTCTTCTTAGGCTTATTATTTTGCAGTTTAGGCTCATATTGAGCAGAAAATATGGGCTTTGTATGTGCAATTGGTTCGTTTTTTATTGCAGTACTTTCACCCACATGGTATAATTAAGATGCGTGTTGGAATTATGCGACTACCTTGAACCCGATAATGGAGTATTTTTTGATAATTGAAGATAATAGTGCTTTCGTCTAGGTTAAGTTCTTTATGTGATCAGTGTAGTTGCGGTGCCTTTTTTGTCTTGCCTTTTTTTATTTCTGTGGTCAGCTCTAGTTGGGGACAAGAGAAGGACGTCTGGTATCCCCTATATACTTTGTGCCTTTAGAAAGTCTTTAGAAAGAGCAGCTGAGTTTAAAGCAACACTAAGTAAGATTTTTTACCTTAAAATAATGTTTTCAAAATCGTTTCAGTGGTTCATCAAGTCGTGACATGGTGAAATGCACTTATGCCACCACTTTGTGGTCCTTTATCTGATAGATCCACGCTATGTAAGATTGCCAGATCGGGTCGCGTTTCTGTAGTCCGAATGAGACATAAGAAAACTACAAATTTGACTTGCTTTACGGCAAGCGTTACAATTGCCGATAGGTGGAGCGTACTCGACAGTAGACTTCAACTACATGTAAGATACCTAGCAGCCGGGTAGCTTTTGAATTGTCATCATGATTCCAAAGCCTGTGCTGGATAAACAGAGAGCAGTAATGGACAAGTCCGCTTCCAACCTGTAGGGCGACCGCAGAGGAAAAGTTACTTGGTGTTGCTTTAATATCACTGGTGTCACCTACAGACTCACTTAAGGTAAAGACTGGACTGATGTATCAGAGAAACCACAAGAGCACTTTCTGATAGACTGTTATTCTAAGATGTTACTGCTTTTCTTTAAGGCGTGGTTAAATTAATCTGCTGTTGCATCCAAAAAAGCAGTCATTCCTCGTATGGATTTGACCTGAGAGGAATTTTACTCCCTTTAATCAAATTGTTGAATTGTAATTTTCCCACGTTTTTTTCCCCCAGCAGTTTTTAAAATTGGTAAAAAAATAATAATAATAATGTAAAATGGTGAATCATACACATTTTGCCTCCATCTTTGTCATTGTTTTGACATTTGAAGTTTGTATTTGTAAATCTGTCTGCTGGCCTCACGACTTCACAGAGAGACCTACATATTTAGTGACTGTCACAATAAACTTTGGTGTTTGCATTATTTATTGATCAAATCTAGTAATTTAAAGGTAAAAACAATTTAATTAAATTAAAAAGAAGAAGAAAAAAAATATTATCAAAATGAAATAAAATAAGCTTTCTGGACAAAAAAAATACAAATTTAGTTTATTAAAAACCTAATTAAGTAAAAACCTAATTGTTTGTGTTTAAATATTGTAAAATATTTTTTACATTTCTGTCATTTAAATGTTACTGTATGCACTAATGGTTTGTTGATGGTAATTAACACAACTAGACTGCTCAGCAGATGCAATGCTCAATAGAGCGCACTTATGACGTGAGCGCTGCAGCAGGTCATAATGAACATTCTTTAGTAGAAATCTCTGTTGGGTGTTTTTGGCGATATTTGCGGTTTATGCTTTTGTTGCGGTTGGCGAGTTTCTACAGTTATTGAATTTATTTGGTTATTGATTTTCGGTTTTTGACTCTCTTTCGGACTTTGACTATCGGCTTTGGATTCGCGACACATTTTGACTCTCGGTTTTTGACTCCCTTCTGTTTTTGACGCGATTTGTGACTGTTTTGGATTCCCGTTTTTGACCCATTTTCTGGTATTGACTCACGGCTTTATGGAATTATTTTTGTGCCAATAAAAATGAACGTAACTTTTCAAGAAATCAATGAAAATATAAATTGAAACTGAATAAAATATCTTTGAAACTGAAAAAGAATAACTCGCTGGCAAATTTATTGACTTCGTTTTTAGTACACTGCATGTTTTGCTAACTATTTCTCATATTTCTTTCGCTGATCTGAACTTACAAATGCGCTTCCAGAGTTTTCAGTTACGCTTCTGAAGTTTTCGTTTACGCTCCCTGAGTTTTCGTTCGCAGTTCTGACACATATCTCTCGTGGGGGCGGGGCTAGTAGCAGTGTGTTCCCATTGGCTACTGAGTTTTTGATTGACAGCACCTTCTTGGCCTATAAGTGAAGACGTTAGTGTTGTGTTTACATGTTTGAATGTGAGCGTCTGTAAGCGCAGGTTTCTATTTCATTTTACTGATATTAAGTTTGTATCTGTATTTATTTGCTGGTAGGCTACACTATATTGTTGAGATGATTTCTTATAGAAGGAATAGTAGCCTACAGACGAATGATATCATTATCATTAGTCATCGTCACTATCAGGATACTGGATACTCGTGGTAAGTCTTTTTTTAGTTTTTTTTTATACAATAGGCCTACTAATACTATTTATAATACAGTAATTGCTTTTTCAGGTGGTGAGGCATTTTAGAGCTCAGTGACATTATAACATTATACAGTTTTGTCTTGATTCAACTGTTAGCCCAATCATTACATGACTTGTTTATCTACATACGATTATGTCTCTGATTATTAGATCATAGTTGCTTCGATTAGATTTTTCCCCCCAGCCACCCCAAACAACATTGGGCTAGAGTACAGTATCTGTACTGTGTAGTAGCCTACAGTACAAAAAGTACTGTATCAGACAATGACCGATGCCATTGGATCAGAGCGCTGTCAATCACTGCCTGATTCAACTTTGGCAATGTAAAGCCTTTTTTTACCATGCCAATAGAACTGGTAAGTCCCGCCCATCCGTAAAACTCCAAGTGGACCTCTAGGTTGAAAAAGCGTCAATGCAAGCCATTTAAACCTGAATTTCTCGATTGCTGATTAATTTGCGATGCAGAGTTTTTGAACTCAGACCACGTCTCTGTTCATGATATGTAAACACACAATTATTTTGAAATATCACCCTGGTCACAATATTTATTCTGATTACTTTTGTGTGATAAAGATGACTGATAAAGCTATTATATGTAGCTAGTATGAGTAACAAAATGCTTTTTCTGTGTCCATATTTGACTAATAATAATGCAAAAATCTTCACTTCAAATTAACATTTCTGAGAAAAATGTTTAATCTTTAATACTCTTTAATAATAAATATGTCCAAATTCAAATCCTAATACATGCAAACAATTATGACTGAAAACATCCAGCAACTAGGGAATACACAGCCATAACATTTATATAATTTGTTTGAAATATTTTAATATTTCAACTTGTTACTGTATGTGGGAGTTCAAATCAGTTTGTATTGTTAGATTATAATATGTTTCCTTTCTCATTTTCCAGGGAGTTGAGCAACTTTTCCATAAACAAAATTCTGATGCTGACACAGAGGATGGAGTGATAGTACCAGAGATCCACTGTCCACACCAGACAATAATCTTACTTTGTTCAGACACATCACATTTGAATGACTGGGATCTTGATCTTCAGACACCTGATTTATTTTGTTTTTATAAAATAGCAAATATTTTAATTTCCTCTAGATCAAAACAAACACAGTTCACAAGTACACAAGAGGTTGCACTTTATTCATATTAGTTTATGCTGATCATGGATTAGCATACCAACAGCATATGAATGTTAAGGGGATAGTTCACCCAAAAATACAATTCTCACTTATTTTACTCACCCTCATGCTGTCCTGGTTGTATAAGTCACAATTGAAACTATTGATGATTGTTAAAATTTAAATTTTAAATTTACAATTTTAAATGTTAGAAGATAATATTAACTAAATTGAATAACTAAATAAAATTATCAGCATGATAAAAAAACATTCTTTGTGTGACATATGTAATGAAATGCCCTTTGAGGTCTGTATCATTTGACAGCAGGCCACGGTTGAAATTTTCATATTGTTTAAATTCCTCTTATGTAAGTGATCATTAATGTTGATGGTGTAAATGCATATGCTAACAATGTGTAATGTGATGGCCATGGTTGCCAACCTTGATTACCTGGTTGAAGTGAAACTTTCTTCTTGACTGCTGAATATATCACATTCACACACTATGCTAGTATTATTTTTAAATTGTAACAGATCAACCTAATCAGAGCCTAACATGCAAAAGAATCATCAGGAATAAACAAATATCCTCCGAAAACATTGGACACTACAATATTTTCAGTATTATATACAGTAGGCCTATTTTAATGTACAATTACACCTGAATAGACTGAATAGATCTCTTGCGCTCCTAAAAGCTTCTGTCGACAAAGTAGTTGCAGCAGCAGGTAAATACAGATAAAATTCAAAAACAAACATAACTTAATATCAGTAAAATTAAATAGAAACCTGCGCTTAAAGACACTCACATCCACACATGTAAACACAACACTGACGTCTTCACTTATAGGTCAAGAAGGTGTTGTCAATCAAAAACTCAGTAGCCAATGAGAACACACTGCTACTAGCCCCGCCCCCACGAGAGATATGTGTCAGAACTGCGAACGAAAACTCAGGGAGCGTAAACGAAAACTTCAGAAGCGTAACTGAAAACTCTGGAAGCGCATTTGTAAGTTCAGATCAGCGAAAGAAATATGAGAAATAGTTAGCAAAACATGCAGTGTATTAAGAACGAAGTAAAAAAATGTGCCCGCGATTTATTCTTTTTCAGTTTCAAAGATATTTTATTCAGTTTCAATTTATATTTTCATTGATTTCTTGAAAAGTTACGTTCATTTTTATTGGCACAAAAATAATTCCATACGGCTTCGGACTCTCGGATTGGTTGACAGCTCGTCGACTGAAATCCTTTCAGTGAAATGGGGGTGATCGGACTTTTATCAGTGTGTGTAAGTATGCGATATGCACACAGCAGACTAATACTAACAATTGGACAAAGATTAACTTCCACTAAAGAACTTCATATATTTGTGTTAAAATCAGCTTTCTTATTTTTTTCAGTCTTGTTTTAAATGTCAAGTGTTGAAATTAACAAACAACATCCCGTAAATTGGTGTAAGTGTAGCCCACATGAAGAAATGCTATTGTAAATGTGATATTTCCTGACTATACATCCTTTAGGAAGCTGTCTAAAAAGTGCGCATTTTAAAGTTATTTTCTCATGCACTTTGCCCTGTACAGTAGCCTACATTTCCTAGTAAACCGTCTTGATTTTGCGTTTTTTTTTTTTCTGAACTTGTGTGCAGGTGGAAACACAGAAGGCTGTGTTTGGTGTGCCTCTGATCGGCCTGAGGAAGAGTGGACAGATGAGGCAGGGTCTTCCTCTAGTGCTCATGCACATAGTGGAGTTTGTGGAGAAGCATGGTGAGTGTGTTTGCCAGTGTTTCTCAGTGTCCATGTATGCTGAGATTGTGTGTTTTTGTAAAATGTGTGTTTGTGTTTAGGTCTCAGTGAGAGCGGCCTGTTCCGGGTTAGCGGGAAAGTGAAACTCTGCCAGGAATTAAGGAAAGGTTTTGATCAAGGAAGCTTTCCGGAGTTTGACAGTGGGGATATTCCTACTCTTGCCTCCTTGTTGAAACTTTTCCTCAGGGAGTTGCCTGGTAGACTTATTCCAGAGTCACACAGGACACAACTGCTGAAGGTGTTCAGGGGTAGGTGAACCTGCGGTCGTGAGGAGTGAACATTTTGGGTACTTGCTGCACAACAAGATTGATTCATCAAATCTGATTGAATCTTCTTCATTGTTTCTTGCAGATTCGAAAGAGGAAGAACTGAATCAGGCTGTGAGGATGATCCTGAACAGTCTTCCGGAGGAACATTTTAACGTCCTCTGCTACCTGTTGTACTTCCTGTCCCGTGTGGCTGCTAAGAATCATCTAAATCTTATGACATCCAAGAACTTGTCAATAGTTTTTGGACCCACCATCTTTCAGTAAGTGTTTATGTGTGTGTATTCAGCTGATATAGTCTGTACTCCAGTCCAAAGCACATCATGTAACTCAAGGACTGAGGTTTCTAGAATTACATGCACAAGTTTTCAGGATCTTATGAGACACAGAGACCAGTCTGATGGAGCTGTCAATCATAAAAGGAAGATGGGTGTCTGGTGTATAGTGATGTGACACGTTTGTTATCTGTGTGTGCAGCGTTCCTCTCGGCCCCACCATGATTGAGGAACAGGGGCTGTGTAACACTTTGACAGAGCACCTGCTGAACAACCTGAAACATTTGCTGCCGAACATGTACCCTCATGCATCCACCGGCAACACAGCAGTGAGTTTATACTGTGTTATAAGTTTATGTTTCAAATGATGGTGGCATCTATGTGACTGGGTTTATGAATTGAATCTGTTATTATATAAATAATTCAATTAAATTATTAGTCATTTGCTAGTGCTTAAGAGTGAAAATGATAATAGATAGGCTAATTCTTTAGTTTTGTATATGTATGAGAGATTGAAAATGCTTAGACATGTGTTTGTGTGTTTGAGGAGGCAGGGGACTGGACTGACGAAGAGTGTGTCAAACAGCTGCCACTCACAGAAATGAGGTACATATGCTGAACACACACTCACACACACATGCAGACCTGTGTTGTTGGCAAACAGTTGATGATCAAATGCATGCACAGATCACATACACCCACAAACATGCACACATACACATGATTCTGGTCATTATGGGTTTATTTAGAACCATTTATTGTAGAGTGCTTGTCAGTCCATCTTCATGCTTGTTCTGTGTATTTTCCAGATCAAAGCTACCTAAAATTGGGCGACTTGGGCGACTGAGAAGAAGATTAAGCAGTTTTGGGAGAAAGTTTTTCTCATGCTTTGGCAGGTATGCAGCAGGATCTTTATATTTTTATCTTTATCTTAAGACTGATCTGGTTGTTGCCCTGCGTGTGCCCATATGAAGTTTTACTGTGTTAGATGCGAATAAGTTAAGATTAGATTTAGTTATACAGGTAATGAATGTGTTGAGTGAACAAACATGATCTGTTTTCTTACTTTTTCATTACTTCACCACACAGTAACACAATCGAGATTGAAGATGCCTCTGCAGAAATGGAGGCCTAGACATATGTGAGTAGAAGACAATGGGGCCGGTGACCCCGACTGCAAGATACTGGACTCTGTGAGGGTCACTGGAAGACAAAGAGGCCAGTGAGGATCACCAGAAGACAATGGGGCTGGTGACCCTCAATGCAAGATACTGGGGCCGGCACTGTAAGGCACTGAGGCAGGTGACCCTCAATGCGAGACACTGAGGCTGGTGAGCTTCACCCTCAGACACTAGGGCTGGTGTGCGTCACCGTAAAACATTGGGGCCAATGAGGGTCACCAGAAGACACTGGGGTCGATGAGGGTCATAACACAGCACTGGGGCCGGTGTGGGTTCCTGAAAGACATTGGGGGCGGTGAGGGTCACCTCAAGACACTAGGGCTGATGAGGGTCACCAGAAGACACTGGGGTCGATGAGGGTCATAACACAGCACTGGGGCCGGTGTGGGTTCCTGAAAGACACTGGGGGCGGTGAGGGTCACCTCAAGACACTAGGGCTGATGAGGGTCACCAGAAGACACTGGGGTCGGTGAGGGTCATCACACAGCACTGGGGCCTGTGTGGGTTCCTGAAAGACACTAGGGCTGATGAGGGTCACCTCAAGACACTGGGGTCAGTGAGGGTCATCACACAGCACTGGGACCGGTAAAGGTAGCTGCAAGACACCAGGGCTGGTGCGTCACTGTAAAACATTGGGGCCAATGAGGGTCACCAGAAGACACTGGGGTCGGTGAGGGTCATCACACAGCACTGGGGCCGGTGTGGGTTCCTGAAAGACATTGGGGGTGGTGAGGGTCACCTCAAGACACTGGGGTCGGTGAGGGTCATCACACAGCACTGGGACCGGTAAAGGTAGCTGCAAGACACCAGGGCTGGTGCGTCACTGTAAAACATTGGGGCCAATGAGGGTCACCAGAAGACACTGGGGTCGGTGAGGGTCATCACACAGCACTGGGGCCGGTGTGGGTTCCTGAAAGACATTGGGGGTGGTGAGGGTCACCTCAAGACACTGGGGTCGGTGAGGGTCATCACACAGCACTGGGACCGGTAAAGGTAGCTGCAAGACACCAGGGCTGGTGCGGGTCACCGGAAGACATTGGAGGGGGGTGAGGGTCACTGCACAGCACTGAGGCCTCTGCTGTGCGGTGTCCCTTACCGCACCCAATGTCTTTCGGTGACCCTCACCAGCCTTATGTCTTGCGGTTACCTTCGCCGGTCCCATGGGACTGTGCAGTGACTCTCACCGACCCCCATGTCTTCCGGTGACCAGGGTCACTGCACAGCACAGCACTGGAGCCAGTGAAGTTTACCCCAAGACACTAGTGCTGGTGAGGGTCAAAGACATTGGGTGTGGTGTGGGTCACTGCACAGCACTGGGGCCGGTAATGGTAACCGCAAGACACTAAGGCTGGTGAGGGTCACTGGAAGGCACTGAACATGGTGATGGACGACAGGTGTGATTTATAAAGATAGAGACAAGACAGATGCTGATGTTGACTCTGAAGCTGATTCAATTAAAGCTTGTCATCTTCATTCAATTAGTAGCGACTCTCTTTTTTCTTTATTAGGTCTGTACAGTCTTTTGTTTGTAGTTGATCATGCAAGTTGTATTTACAAAATGTCAAATTTAGAAAAAGCCCAAATTCCAAGTTCAGCTAAATAAATACATTTATTAACACCAAAATAAAACAAAACACCGAATTTTAAAACATTTCTGAATCCTTTTATTGGCTTTTTATTGAAAGTTTAATCATTTTTATTGGTGTTGTTATCAATGAACATGAATATGTAAATGATCAAATGAAAAAAAGTATATAATAAAATATCTTCCTGAAACTGTCATGAGCTTAAGGCGAGCTATTAAATAAAGATCCTTGTCCCCCGCGTTACTAACACGAGTAATCGCCTTTAGAGTAGTAATAGAAAAGATCTGAATGTGAACAGATGGTCTCTTGATTAAGTTTGATACTGATGCGGGGAGCGTCTTCCTGAGGACTTTCATAAACCAGCACTGAACGAGTACATGAATCGGGTGGACATTGTTTTCCTGAGGAAATGCAGGTAAGGCAACTCATTTTTTCATTCGTTTACAAAATGATGCTCAAACATTGTAATTTTTATGTGTCCGTGAAAATTATGAGTAACGTAAACGCCGCGTGGCTCCGTTTTGTACGTCCGCGCATAGTACAAGGATGAAAAAAGTTATCGATGTCGACCACTTAGTAAATGCACACACGTAACGTTATCGCATTAGCTTTTTTTTTTTTTTTTTTAATCCCGTCTCCATATACTAGCCATAAAAGATAGAACAGAAATAGCAACATGACGCAACTATGAGATTCACAAATCAGCCAATCTGTCTAATTTATCATTATGTCTGTTTAAGAGTCACCAGTTATATAGGCTATTTAAGTAATAGCAGTGTATAGCCTACATTTTTTTTCCAGTACTATGAATTCGTTTATAATGGTCTTTCTCGGTTATAACCTGTGTATTTTTTTATTTTATTTTTAACTTTCGATAAAAAAAAAACTTTAACTTTAACAAATAAGCCCTTTCATTTGTATCCTTTTTTTAAAATAAAAAACATCATGTCAGTTGCATATGATAAGCTCGTAAGTGGATCTGGACAGATTTGCAGTTTATTGTGAAGTTGCTACTGAGCTTTAAAAATGTGAGAAAATCCTGAATATTATTAATGTTATCCTGACTACATTTTTGTGGTTCTATTCCCAGGGAGACCTAGAAAAGCACCAGGGAGCAGTTTTCCATAGTCAGGTACTATGAGCACTTGTGTTGAAAGACACTTTGGCAGAGTTGCAGATCGGGAGATGGAAGATCAGATTAACCCAGGGACTTGACAGTAATACCGGCACTGATCGCCAACAGTAAATTATTCCCCTTACAATTTCTTTCTTTCTAGGCGTTGCTGAAGATGACTGTGATGATACTTAACCTCAGAAGTGAAGTGTTGTAGTCGTACTATCCTCTTTCTTTCTTAAGATTTAGCTATTTGACTTTTGAGGCAGAGCAAAGAAAATAGTTAATAAGTCACACAAAGTGTCATAATATTTCTTGTTATTTTACCTGTGTTTTTGCTTTAAACTTTGGTCACATTATGTTGTTTTTAAATGTGCTATAGAAATGCATGTACAGAAATAAATATTTATTGAAATAATGATCAAGACAAAATACACTCCTTTTTTATCATAGGAAAATGCAAGCATGTCCTGCAAAACAGAAATCTGTGTGAAGCTTATCTACAGGAATAAAGTAAGGCAGAACCCAAGGGCTCTTCTGCTTGTGTGTGTGTGGCTCCTGTGCTCACAGTCAGTGTCCAGCAGCAACCAAAGCTCTCGAGGCCAAACCGGTAAGCTAAGCCAACTAGTGCAACATCTCTCCCTTTTTTTTTTTTTGTCCCCCTTAGGTCTCATTACACACACTGGACACACACTTATATAGCCCCACTGGGAGCACAGTCAGACCACTGCTAATAACAGCTAAACAACCATTTGCCACCTAGTTATAACTCATTCAGTCATGAACATAGTGAATCTAAAAGGTCACGAGGTGGCTGGTATAGCTTTAAGTATATATTTGCATCCATATAAAGTCAAATAATATGATAAAATATAATATAAATAATATAATGTTTGACATGCATATACATAGCCTATTTCAAACTGTTATTTTAGTTTATATAGATTTATAATTTTATTTACATTTTTAAAAAAGAAGCTTTTGTCAGTTTTTTATTGATTTTATATTGATGAACTGATTTTTTATATTAATAATCTATTTTGGTTGAATTTATTTTTATTTAAATTTGTTTCAGTTTGTTGCTAAGGCAACATTTTTTTTCAAAATTTTTTTCAACTAATATTTATATTTGATTTCAGCTTTATTTCAATTAACAGAAATGTTTTTAATAGTTTTAGTTTAAGTTAATTATATATACCCTGTGGCAAGATGTCACAAGAAACACACACACACACACACACACACACACACACACACACGCACGCACACACACACACACACACACACACACAAACACACACGTTTTAATAATTATTTCTGTGCTGCTTGTCCATGTGAGGGCGCCAGGACATTAGAAATAAAGTTATCTGTGCCTCTGTTTTCACAAAATGTGAAGCTGTGTGTACGCTGTACGCACATATGACGAATATTCTGCATGTAATAAAGCCTTCCGACATCTAACTGTCTTTCTATCAATTTAAGGTCGGTCTGAAGTAAAGCCGGGTACCTGTGAAGTGGTGGCGGCTCATCGGTGCTGTAATAAGAATAAAATAGAGGAAAGGTCTCAGACGGTCAAGTGTTCCTGTCTCGCTGGACAGGTTGCTGGAACTACCCACACCCAACCTTCATGTGTAGATGGTATGTCTGTATCTCATTAACCTCAAATTACTGCAGGTTTAAGAAAAAATGAATCATGGCTAACTGCATCAGTGACAGCTCTCTGTATTATTATGTGTGATGATGCTGCATCTACACCGATAGGTGTCAGTACAGTCCATGATCACTGTCATATTGGTCAAAACAAACTAAAAATGACTTGGTATGACAGCATAAGACGACGCAGTGATAGTTTGCAAACTCCTGTTGCATTTAGTTTCAGGAACAGGTTGGACTTCAGGGCTGCTTTTGATTTAAAACTCCAGCAACATTGGCTTTCTCAAGCTGTCACTCTCCTTTAGATTTAGGCTTCGAGCTGTGAATCTAATCCTGCTCTGCCAGTTTGTTGACTCTTCAATCAGCAGATATTTTGGAGGGATTTACTGCCGCACCAAGTTTCTTGCTGTAGGTATTTCTGTTTTAAGTTTTCTGCTGGAAAACTTTATTTGTTTATTTATTTATTTATTTTAGGCATGCACCAATATTGAAATTCTGGCTGATACAATAAATGAATAATTAATTTTCGAACCAATAAATGATCTACATCTACATACATATATATAGGCCACATTGTTAAAAGCGCTATATAAATGAGGATGACTTGACTTGAGCTTGTTCTCCAGAAAAACTCCTCTAGTCTAAATAATAATGCAGAATCATGCAGAATTTGATTCAGAGCCATCATAATTCATTCTTAGATAGAATGTCAAGAAAATAGTTTTGAAAGGAAAATCCAGATGTAATACCACATTCACTTTCATACATTTTCTCATACAATAGCATTACTATATCCTGGTGCCTCGGGTGCACATGTATTGTGTTACGCAGGATATTACCATTTTAATTCTTCAAAATAAGCTGTTGAGAATGTATGGATCTCTCCCTGAATATCCTGCAGAAAAGACCAACATGAATTTTCAGACAAAAATTGTCTTTCTGATTAAGCTGGTTGACAACGCAAGTCTCGCAGGTTAAGATTGTTAATAAGCCAGCACATCAGAGAGCCATGCCGTGACCACGTCCAAAACACGACATATGCTGTTTCATTTCCCCCCCCTCAGCAGGGCAGTTTTGTCAGCATGGAGCATTAATCAGCCTTAGCTTGTGTCTTTCTGTGTAGTTTCAGCATGCAGGTTTGTCTCTGTGTGGGTTTGAGTGGGTTTATGTGTACTGAGAGGTGGGCAGTGAGCTTATGTGGGTGTGTTATCATCATGGTCATTTTTATGCCTCTGGGAAGATTTAACAGACCTCAATATTTCACAATTTGTTGTCAATTCATTTCAGTTATTTGTGATTTTATTCATTCTTACTACACTGATCTCTGAAATACTTGATTCTGTCTGTTGTGGAAAACATTTTGACCATTGACCGCTGTCTCTGGCAAAAAAACAAAACAACATTTGAATTTTATGTCGCTCTTATCACTCAGCAGTCTCTTTCTTCTCACATAATGAAATAATTTCAACTCAAATTAGTATTTTATGTCCTTGTTATATTTATTTACTTGGAAAGTAGGCATTTAATAAGCAGGATAATGAAGTCAGCTGGTAATTATCACAAAATAAACCCCTGCTGTATGAAACAAAACCACTCAGTGAGTTTTGATCGCCCTGTCAGGATTTATTTTGTGATAATGACCAGCTGACTGTACATTATCCAGCAATTGTTCTGCATTAAATTAATCAAAGAATCCTGAAAAAGAATGTGTCATAGTTTCCACAAAAATAAGCAGCACAACTGTTTTCAATATTGATAATAATTAGAAATTTTTCTTGAGCATCAAATCATCATATTAGAATGATTTCTGAAGGATCATAAGACACTTAAAGGGACATTGTGTAGGAATTACTCCCATCTAGCGGTGAAATTGTATTTTGCATTCAAACGAATTGTGCTCTCCAGCGCCTCGCTTTTTCAAATGTGTATTGCATCTACGGTAGCCGTTATGTACCAAAAAGCTATTGACAGGACGTCTTCTAATAGCACTTCGTCGAGTTTTCCTTTGGGTGAACAGGTTTGTTATTTCAAACAAACTGCAACTTTACAGTATGAATTACTGACTGTGAAAAACATGAACCATTGTAATTAGTATTTATGCTTATTTATTCGTTATATTTTCTTAAGTACGTGCATTGTTAGATTAGATATCATCATCATCATCATCATCATCAGATGATTCAACAGTAGAGGGAGAGGACAGAGAGGCAGTGGATCAGAAGAACGTTTCCACTGTCAGGCCAGAAGCTCCGCGGTGCTTCAATAAAACACGCCCGTGTTATCAGAAAACTAATCAGAAAGAAATGGAAACAGCATTGCAAAACAAATATGATAAAAGCGACCGTTTGCTGGCATTTTTGTTGTTTACTTGACTATTTAAAACCCAAGCATCGATGTTTTACCAGGTCTACAATAAAAGGCGATACATTGATCATGAATTAATGTATGTCAAAATTGCACATTAGTCACACAGAAATAAATTACCGTTAGGTTTCACAAAAGAAATAGGACACACTTACTTCAATCGCGTCTGTTTCTGTTTATTTGGTAGTAACAGGACATATATCACATTTAAAAAGAATGATAATTTCTACAAATATATGCCACCAATAATACGACCTGAGGAGCTTTAGCACTCTCTCGACTCCCAGTAGGCTAACGTTACAGATATTTTCAGTCAGAGAAACAGAGGAAGCTCCCGGGAAAAAAAATGTGCTTTATTTTATGATAGTCCGGTATAAAGAGACGAGACGTAGGCTATCTGACAGATAAAATAAAAACATTATTGTGATAACCTTTATGATTGGTCTGATTTCTTCAAACGTTCACTATGTTTTTTTTACTATGCGTATCTTCAAGCGTTTATTTTGTTTACTATGGTAACGTTAATGGTTAGCGTGCAATATAGTCTTTTACTCGCGTATAAATATTTCTACCTTATATGGTGATCAGAATCCACATCGGATCACAAACAAAAGGCATTCAAACGTGAGTTACATTATTTTAAAAGTAGCCTATTTACTGCTGACAGAATCACCCGGCGCTGTCGTCTAGTAGAGGTGGACGACGAGGAAGAGGAGGAGAGCGAGAGTCAATACCACGACGACAAAGATGCCCGCGGCAGCTACAAGAGACGATCTTGATAGAATTGAAAGTTTCCAAGGCAGAGAAGAGAAGCAATGCAGCCTTTTAAACTTGCCGGGGCAGTGACCAGCGCCTCTCAGCTCTGCTCCTCCGGTTCTGCTGCTTTCAGTTACATGACGCTGGCTCTGAACGAAAACGCGTTGTGGAAACGCGTTTGGTTGGTACTTTTTGACCCTCTCTGCTATTATAGTTTTTCAAGATGGCGGAACGACATGGAAGCCTCCGTGAACCTACCCGTCCCATGTACATAAAGATAATAAATTCTTAATTTACGAGGATAAGTCAGATAATTTGCAGAGGTATTTGTACACCATTGAGGACATATTTAAGAATAAAAATATTGATTTCAGATAATAAAATACCTAAAAACCTACACAGTGTCCCTTTAAGACTGGATTATTGGTGAAAAATCAGCTTTACCATCACAGGATGGTAGGATCGTGTTGCTCCTGCTTTTCACCCACTTTTCTTTTAATTCCCTCTCAGCATCAATCGTGCGGATGAAGTGGTGGTGTCAAATGGAGCCATGCTTAAATGGTGAAGAGTGTAAAGTATTGCCTGACCTCACCGGCTGGTCCTGCAGCTCCGGGAACAAAATCAAAACTACCAAGGTGAGTTGTAAGGCCTGGTCTTTGGAGAGAGTCCACTGTTACCTAGAAATATAGTCAGCAGTTTGACTACCACCACATACACGTCAGAGCTTCATCACCAGATGTTTTGAGCTGAATGTCCCAGCATGCTTGTTTGGACTGTACATGCATCAGTTTTTTAGTTATTCATTGGTAATTCTATCATGAAATATCTTCTAAAGTGCTTCTTGGCCCTTCTTCCCTTTTAGGTCACACGGTAAAGCAACACTTCTGTGGACATGTGTGATGACAACTCATAATTTCAAAGGAGTGTATTTTAAAATCAGATCTGCAAATGTCAACAGAAACACTCGAGTAGAAACATGCGAACTGTGAACTATGACTGTGAGAAGAGTTCAGATGATGCAAGGCATTCAATTCTCTTTTGAACTTTCTATTCATCAAAGATTCATGAAAAAATTATATTTTACCCACAAAAATATTGATCAGTTATGTTTCTTGAGCAGCAAATAATCATATTAGAATGATTTCTGAAGGATCATGTGACACTGAAGACTGGAGTAATGATGCTGAAAATTCAGCTTTGCCATCACAGGAATAATTACATTTTTTGAAATATAGCTGCGAGAAGCAATTATCAGGGTTCAAGCGTTTTAAGGCCTTTAAGCACATGCGTAAAAAGATATTATGTTTTGTTTACCAAGCATGTAACCACTTAAATCATAGAAGGAAAATACCATTTACAACCAATACAGGCAATTTACCTTAGGAAATATATGGTTTTTAAAGCTTTTTAACAGTTATAGTGCCACATATGTAGCCTGGGAAAACCCAGACAACTTCCGGCAAATTTAGATTTGCTCTGAAAGTTAGTCTGGCAAAGAGCTCATTCAAGCCCATTTCCAATCCGCCGAAATCGAGGCACCAATCAGAAACGTTGGGGCGGGCTTTACACGATGACGACAGCGCTGGGATTTTGAAGCAGATTTTGTAGCCTACATTACAAAGATGGATGCCGCCGTCGCACAGCACTCGTTCGAATCAGCTATCGCGTCTGTTTTAAGCCATTTGAACGTTTCCTTTTTGTTGAAAACCGAGCAAAGAACAACACTCTGAGATGTTTCTCCGCCGCTCTGCATACGTCATCTCCTTCATCGCTCTGATTGGTTTTAGGTCTATCCGCGACGTCCGTTGGTGACGCCCCTCTGGAAATGATTTGTCAATGACGCTTTGCCAGACCATAACTCAGTTACAACTGAGAATGGTCTGGTTTTAACCAGGCTACCACATATGGTCCGATCTCCATAAAAGTCTGCATGCTTTTTTAGAATCATGTGTTGCATATGTTCACCTATTTTCGTTTTGAGGTTTCGTTTAGGATTTATTGACTTTTGAGTATATTTTGCCACGCCCATTTTCTAAATGACCCTGTTATAGCTACTCAAAAGGTAAAATTCTATTTTTTAAATAATTATTAACAATGGCTGAATCCGAAATTGCCCCCTAAACCCTCATTCACTATTTCCTACGTTATAGTCCACTAATAGTGTTCACTTGAAGGAGTGAAAGAAAACGAGTGAGTGAATTCGGACACCCGTTGAACGTACATTGGTTGTATACTCGTTATTGCAGTGCAATGTGGGATTGGATGAGTGCACTCAATAACGTCCACTATGGTTTCGGACACCACTACAAATGGCTGTCCCCTCAAGTAACGCCCTATTTGAGGGTATAGGGGGGGATTTCAGATTCAGCCCTTGAGTAGATGAGTTAAACACCACGTGATTACTGAGGCGTAAAACTCGTTAGCGCCATCTAGTGGCCGTTTTCTTTCAAAATTCTTACAGACCTCTTGGGCCATGAGTCGAACATGCCCACCGAGTTTCATTACGATCAGCCTCCATAAACCGTGTCTAATAAGTGCTCAAACTTCATTGGCCGATGGCGGCCATGTTTTGTTGAGATACACCAATGTCCTCATAGACAATTATGGCACCTTGGACAAAGACACTGCAAGCCAATTTTCCAGTCAATCGGACTATGGTTGGGTGGTTATAGCCATTTTCATGTTTAGCGTCACCAAGTGGCACTTGATTGGTGAAAATATCTAATTTCTTTTACGAGCCATTTTTGTAAAAGTGGCTCCTCCCACTTGAAATTTTTTGCTGGGCCTTAGAGACCGTGAATCGAAATTGAAACTTTTTTGATAATTATTGACAATAAGAGTAGCGCCCCCATCAGGCCTATCAGGGCGAGCCTTGGTGACGTTGTAGACGGTGTAAGTACTACCAGCCCTCAAAGTTTCAAGTCTCTACGACTTATGGTGATCCTTGCTGATCCTTGGAAATTTTAACAATTACAATTGGGTTTCAGCGCTACGTGCATGAACCCCTAAATATATTAAATTAGAAAACAGTTATTTTTAAAATGTAATGTTAGCCTACTGTATTTTACTGTGTTTTTGAGCATAAGCAACTGAGCATAAGAGACTTCTTACAGACCCCAAACGCTAGTACATTTAACAGATATTTTCCAATGTACTTTTTTTTGTTATTCACAAAAAAAGTAATACAGGTGTGGATGAGGGTGATAAATTGTTGACAAAATTATAATTGTGTGCTGTACTATCCCTTTAAATGTTTATAGGTACATATGTTTAGTTTTTTTCTCTCTCCATCTTGATTAATCCATGTTCTCCGAGTTGTAACCAAGTTGACTCTGATGTTGTTTTTGCACAGCAAAACTTCTGAATATTAAGATAAGCCCCTACCTGCGCACATGAACACAAACACACTGCTCGTCTCTTCATTTTCATCTGACTGACTTGACACACCACCTGCAAGTGGAGGCAAGTAAACATGCAAGTTTGGAGCAAAACAAGCCCTGTTTGATATGGAAATAGAACAGAGGAGTGTGAGAGTGTGTGTGTGTGTTTATCTGGATGTGTGAGAAAGACAGATGGAGAACCAGACTATGCTGAAGCCCATGTGCTCCTGAGTTGTAGGTTATTATCATATTAAGCGTTTATTAAAATTTGGGGTTGGGGAAGTAGGGTGGTTAGCTTCTAATTATGACTGCAACAACAGTGAAATTATGTATTAGTTTCCTTACACAAACACATGTAGGGGTTCACTGCAGGTTCCAGTCTGTTATTAATTCACAGCAGGGTCACCTTGACTGTTTTGAATGATTTATCATAAGGCTCATTAAGACTGATGACAATTCACTGAATTAATTTGGTGGTTCCAAATGTAAAACTCAAACTTTATTTCAAACCTTTTTTAATGTTAATGAATAAATATTCATTATTGAAGTGCCTCTCTGTATCGTTATTTAACCATGAAGAATGTTGGTACTTTTTCCCCTTTTTTGCTCTGCAGTAACCATAAAATTATACCTGACAGTTTAAGTGGCAAGAGGCAAGATGAATTTGAATGTATTTACAATAAACACATTTCAGTTTTAATGACACAGAACTCTCCTGGAAGGAGTAATTGTTCTGTGTGAAGATTCAGAAAACAGGGTATTACTTATGCATGCCGTCCCTGGCATCAGTCCCCTGGGGAGGGCCAGCGCGCTCCTGTAGTGCTTTAGACTAGAGGAACTGAGGACAGTGGATGTAAGTATACCTGCTTGAATTTAAATGATGTTGGCATCCATAATGAACTTAATGACGGGGTGCTTGAGCTTCACATTCTCACTCTTCTGTTTGCATTGCATTGTTGTTAATAAGAGTGCTGGCGAATAACTCGATATGCCATTGTTCGCATACTTTAAAGGAAATGAGAAACCCATGCCAACACGGTATGCCAGCATCTTATTACATCCAGCAGTGAGCGGAGGAAGACAGAGAAAATTGTTGGGCTCTGTGGGAAATAAAAAATTCAAATTATGAACTATTTTCGTCCAGCAATCTACCATTACCAGGCTCAGGCGGATCCATCTTTTTAGAGGAGAAAGTGAGCAGGAATGGTTGTGGAGGCAGCGCTTTTAGATTCAGTATCTTATCCAAAATGTGTTCATTGGTCAGATAATTACCCAAACCCCCCTACATCATACTCACAGTGGGGCAGAGAGGGGGCTTAATTAAGAAAAATGAAGGGGGCGTTTACACAACACCGTTTTCAACTAAAACCGGTAACATTTCTATGAGTTGTGACCGTTCATTTACACAACAACTGCGTTTTGGGGGCCTGAAAACACTTTCAAAGGTTTCAAAGTGAAAGTTCTTGAAAACGTTAGCGTCGTCTTCGTGTAAACTACAAAAACGTGATTCTGTGGAAACCGTGACATCTTGCGCATGCGAATTAGCGCCCGTGTCTCGTTTCATATGCTTTTGTGCATATGACTGCCTTGAGGAGTTTACTTTAATTAGGTTTATCATGAGAATGTCTTCTTTCTGACCCTAGAAGAGGAGAATCATCAGGGCTGGACTGGGGCTCAAATTCAGCCCATCCCATCCGGCCCAAACGTTTCCCCATTTATGTTTTGCTAAGTCCTTTCAATTGGAATAAACAAATAAATTAATGAATAAATAAAGGACTGAAACAAATAATTATAAATATTTCTGAATATACTGCAAATGTGTTTAACAATATTAATATTGCATTATATTGCAAGGCTCTTAATTATTGAATTAATATTTTAAAGTTTATGTATCTACACAGAAGAAAAAACATTAGCTTTTTCCTTAATTCATCCAGGCTATAAAGCTCTTAAATTCTCCTTTGTTGCCCTAACCGTAGTCATTGCTTGGAATCCAGAGTTTAACTGCAAGATCAAGACACAGGCAAAAAAGAAAAGCTCCTCATTACCATGGTTTTGAGGTTTTAATATAACAACAACAACAATAATAATAATATTGCTAATAATAAACTATGGTATTTGTAATGAAAAACATCCTCACTATAAAACAACTTCTATAAAACTAGTATTTTAGCACTTCCGGTTCCATTGTCCCGAAGTCAGTGGGTTTTTTTAATAGGTTTTTGGTTAAATGGCTGAAATAAGGTCTGTGGTTAACAAAAGCTCAAGATACTTTCATGTTTTATTCTACGACATAAAAAAAAAAAAATTAAGCTGTTATGTGTCTTGAAAAAGGTGGTGGCTAAATGGGACTACATGGACTGTCGGGGACATTAAACATCATCACGCTGAACAGGTAAACTCAGTTCGCTTTTACAGCCTCGTTATGCTTATAATTGTGCTCTTATGAACTATTCTAACTCAAACTTTCTGGGAAAATGTTTTTAGATCAAAACTGAAAGATTTGCCGGAAGCTTAGTGATGGTAATGTTGAATTTGTGGGACCGTGGTGAAGTTTGTTTAGCTTTTTACTTCTGGCGACTGCATTTGGGCTTCAAAATTCATAAAAGTTTTGTTAATTTGTGGAAATTATCTTGATGGACAAAACTTGTAAGTATCATAAACTTTTGTTGATCACAGAGCTTGTTTTTTGCAAAAATCCTACTGGGTTTCATCACTTGGTGTTTGGTCTTTGTATAGGTGCTCCACTAAATAACAGCGCTTAATATGCTGGGGCATGATGGGGTATTGCTGGCGATCGACCCATTGGAAAAAGTTTAGGTGCTCCCAATGGCCAGTCAATCTACTACACAGTCAATCATGGGCCCCTCCTATAGCTCGGGCCCTACATGGTGCCTAGCCCTATTGTTAATGCAGCCCTGCAGATTAGTCGTTTTCGTGGATTCGTGTGAAAGGAGATCGTTTTGATAATGACTTTTCAGTTTTTAGTACATCGCTGTCCTGTAAGCTAAACATACCATTAGAT